GTTTCCATTCCTTTTCAACTTTGTCATAGAGGATGTTCTACAGAACGCTTTATCCGGTCTAGCAAACGGTGGAGTCGAACTCCTAACAGGGAACAGAGTCATTGACTTAGCATATGCCGATGATCACGCCTTGTTGGGTGGCACACACAATTTTTTCCCGATCTGCCAAGTTGTGGAACAAGATACCATTGTCTCTCCTCCAATTTACAACCTCACGCGCTTCAAGCACAGAATCAATAAATCGGATCTTACGCGAATGCATACCTACTCTCTCTTTTACAATATGCTTTTTGTCTACGGGGATTTCATCATTCAATGTAGTTCACGTTATGTGTAATAAACAAAATAAACTATTGAAAACCCACAGGTAAACTGAATTGGTAAATCTAATCATCCGTGGGTGTAGATGTTTTGACACAGAGGTACAATACAGAAATTCCAGACAAAGTATTCAGGATTCGATCCCCCTCCTTCCCGGGAAGAGTCAATGGATGCCTCAACCCGACGCACTTAATTGAGAGTGAAATTTCAGTCCGGTATCTTCTGAGTGTATGAATGGCTCACTGATTGTGTGAAGTTTATGTTTGGATTCATTTAGCCCTAATTAAAAAGTAACGGTTCGCCAANCGCAAGAGTACGTTGAGCTACGTGAAGATGAGACACTTTATTTTGGGAGGAAAAGGATCCTTTGCAATTTACAAATCAAAGAAAAGATTTTAAAACATTTGTGTAGATCAGTTTGTAGAATCAGACTGATCCATTAGATGTGTCCGAGCCATTTGATCGGGTAATTCGGATACGACTGGTTCTGACATGGTTACTGGTGGGGCAGAAAAGATAGAATCAGTATTAATCACATGACTGTCAGCACATGTAATCAGTTCTCCAGATTGGTTCATGCAACCGGTCATGGATTGTGAAATGTCATTTGCATGTGGGGCTGCTAAACTGCCCTCATGGATTTCCAATTCTAACTCATTGGGGAACGATTCCGGGACCATGGTCGGAGTATCGGACATTGGGATATCCCCAGTGTCCATAGATACCTCTGAAGGAACTGTACCTTGAACCGTATTTGAAATGCTATTGTCTACAGCTGCATGATGTGCAGTAGCTATATTTTCTGTTGGTTCTGGGCACATATTCGATTGACCGTTCTCGTTGGAAGCACTGGGTTCTTGGATTGAAGCACTCGGAGCAGCACTGACTGTTGATCCCGTCTCGGATTGCAGGGGCTGTGGAGCTGAAGATTCTTTTCGACTCTTGAACAAATCGCTTAGAATTTTATCCATGTTGGCAACACGTGGTTGCCGAGGATGTCGGCCTGAACCAACCACTCGACGCAGCGGTAAAGCTGCTGCCTGAGCCATCCCTGGACCGCCAGTCATGGAGGCAGCAAACAGAAGAAGATCCTGTTGGCTAGATCCTTCGTCGAAGTCAAATTCGGCTAGCTTAGATGTGGACTGTGAATCCGTTGGCTTTGTATTGATAGAACTACTCGCCACTGTATTTTGCTCTTGCTGAGTTGCACTGCCTTGCTTGGCTGAAAATTGAAAACAAAAAACGATCCCGGCGTATACGACTGTCCTGATTTTACTTTTTTCCGGTGAATATACAGCTTTACAATCGATGTTCAAGTAAGAAAAACAACCAATTAGAGAAATATCTGTTTGCAGGCGAACTGACAACAGAAAATTCGTTCAAATTATCTGACCCAAGGGGAAATCAGAACGAAGAGCGAATTGGGTAAGAACAAATCGATTTTTTTATTTAACGAATCTGGTGAACCAGTAAAACAATGGCATGAATATTATCACCATCATCATACAGCGGAATACAGTGAGGTGAACTTCACTGATCGTTGCAAAACTCGCAATGCAAACAACGTTGGTGGTAAAATTTAAGGTAGATAGGGATTGGATCTATCTCGAGTAAGGGGGAAGAAGGTGAACCTCTATGGCCAACACAGAGTGCAAAATCGAACTCTGCATACATACCGTTTCAGGCGTATTGGCCTGATAAGAAATGACAACAAGAACGCCACTGCTGTCAGTTCGCCGCCGTATCTTTCAATATCTCCAACCAACCGGTTGTGGAGTCTTTCGGAAGGCGCGAGACACCTACTTTACCTTTGTGCATTTCTTCATGCCTCGTCTCCATGTCTTTTTTCTTCTTTTTCTTTTCATTTTACTTCCTTTTATTGAATGCGCAAAGATACAATTTTTCAGGAAGGGGGAAGCGGCCAATCAAAGGGCTGCCATACAATACACAAATGGGGAAAGTCAGGCAGTGGTGGTGGAATTCGAACACTCGTCCTCCGGGGTGATAATTGGTGACGTTACCACCGGGCCACCACCGTCATCTGTTGACCTTCACGTTTTCCTCCAGTCAGTGAGAATGTGTTTAACGGACATGGATTGGGCCTATTTTGAGGAGTCGGTGCCATATATATTATTATATTTCACACTTGTCTGAGGACAGACTGTGTTTCAGGTAAATCATGGTACAATAATCTTTATAAAAAAAGAAAAAAAGCGTTCCATGATCGGAGTCGGTGCCAAACGTATTTCGGTCCTGCGTACGTTGCTCGAATCTTAAAATTACGGGCGGTGGTTTCCTTTCGTGTGCAACCGTCATTTGTCACGCAGCTAAGTAGAAGCTATTAACTGTAACTAAATCCTGATCAACAAGCATCGGAACCGAGGTACATGTAACCCAATCTTTCACTATCACATTGTACTTTGAAGGTACAAAACACATACTGAACCGAGTAACGGAACCGGTTCGGCTGTTCAGTGGGCTTTGCACGTCCTCCATACATTAGATAAGATAGACGATGTCGTCAGCGCAGTGTGGTTTGCACGGCTTTTCTCTAGCTGCACATCTGAGGCCAATTATTGCATTCTCCGCTATTTCTTCTGCGACGAAAAGGAGCAGGAATGACGAAACAGAGAACCATTGACAAACAGCTGTGGTTCGAACCATTGGCCTAGCTCACCGTAAACCCTTTGGCTAGCAGGACACGATCACATGCCTTTGAGGGGACATTCCTTTGTGAAACATCGAACCCATTAGGGTTTCACTGCCAACGGAATTGAAAGCTCCTTTCAAGTCAATCGATCGTTGGTCGATGTGCACGGTGCAACTGGAAAACTTGACGAAACGTAAAGTTGTGGGCAGGATAATGGCGATCTGGTCGAAACCCTNACCCTGCATGTTGTTTGCGGATATTTATCTCCCTTCAGAGGGTCAGACATGGAAGTAGGACGGAATCTAACACTTTGGTGAAGATCGGAACTGAACTTATCGCAGGACAGTTTGCACAGTTGTCGCGTGATCCCTTCTTGGAGATATGAACTATTAATGGTTCGCCCCAGGATAAAGGGATTGGCTCTACCGCTCAAATGATGTGAAATAAACTAGCAAGAGTCTTAGACTTAAAACACCGAACGGTTGATCGGGATAACATATCTGACAGTCTTATATAAAGGCGAATGGAGAAATTTTGAGTGAGTTTGGAATTCAAACTGAACCACCCAGGTTCGCTTCAACAAAGATGAAGCTGATCTCCTCTATCTGGAGTTAGCGTAAGTCTTGAAACAAACGAAATTTTGAATATCTCAAGACAATTGCTGAAAGCGTTCCATAAATTGGACGATAAAAATGGGTATGCTTTAAGAATGACCATGTGTTGTGTCCAAGATACTCACATTCAAGACTCCAGCTCCATTATCCGATTAATGTCCATATCAAACCCAGCAGTGAAGTTTCACTTACGCCTCGCTGGGAACCCTGAGGCTGCAGTTTCCGGTCTTGCTGGCGTTGACGTATCTCTCTGAGAGAGCTGAAACCGCGCTCCTGGACTGGATCCCAGTTCACAATAGGTTGTGCACAATGAGACTTGAAGGTGCGTGCAAAATAAACAGCCGTCGACCGATAGAACAAACCTGTTTGTCATGTCGGCATAAGCCCCAAAGGACAGCAGCCCAGATGTAGTCAAAGATAAATTTTACCATCATTTACACGACCTCTTGCGTAAAGCGAGTCGGGCTGATATCGTGATCTTAGCAGGAGATACGAATCCTAGAGTAGGTCGCCTGATTTCGAGTGAGGCGCATCTGCGAGGTTATTTCGGACTAGATTCCTGCAGCTCGGAAAACGGTTGTTGTCTCTGTGTTCCGACAACCGCCTATTCCTCACCAGTACGAACTTCAGACGCTCCGACGGCCGGTACGCCACTTGGCGTCTGCCCTATTCGAGTCAGAGACAGAAGCCGATCGATCAAATAGCTATAAGCCACAAATGATGCGGTTGCACACAACAGTACCGATCGTACTGGAGCACTTCCCTCGAATCCGACCAAGTGTTAATTTGTGCCAAGCTGTGTATGTGCTTCGGTGGGCGTTCCAAACGCATGACACATCAACGGCTAGACTGTGGTAAGCTGTTTGAATCAGCACGCCTTAAAGGAGCTTCACAATTCTCTATGCCATTCTGGCGTCGTGCGCCTTCTGCATTTTGTGAGATCCCAAAATCTACCTTATTCCGTACAAGACGTAAAAAACACCATCGCCCAATGTAGTGTGTTCCGAATTAAAACCGAAATTTTGCAAACTGATCACCAGGAACCTTTTATCAAGGCCACCGCCCCATTTAAGAGGTTAAATATGGACTTCAAGGGATCAATACCATCACATTCACGTAACAAATATTTACTCACAATAATTGGTGAATATTCGCGATTTCCGTGCATCGATATGACAACTGCCACTGTCACTAACCACCTCTGTCAATTATTTTCTGTATTTGGTACACTTTCTTACATCCACACAGACCGTGGATCCTCATTCATGTCAGCTGAACTAAAACGTTCCCTTCATGCTAAAGGAATCGTAACTAGCCGAACCACTGCATACAACCTGCAAAGTAACGGACAGGTTGAGTGGTTCAACGGTACACTTTGGCGTCCAATCACCCTAGCCACCAAATCGAGATCTTTCTCTTACAGTGATTGGGAAGTTATTATCCCGGATATTTTACATTCTCTTCGTCACCTCTTGTGTACCACTAAAAACCAGTCCCCTCATGAACGTCTGTTTAAGTACAATCACAAATCAACATCCGGCGAATCACTGCCAAGTTGGCTGACTGTTCGTGGACCAGTTTTAATGAAGCGCCTCCCTCGGGTAGAGCTGATTGAATATAATCCAAGGTACGCCCACGTCAGACTTCCAAACGGCAGCGAAGAAACGGTGTTCATTCATCATTACCGTGTCCACCAACAGTCCCCGAAACTCCATTCATCGAACCTATATCAAATGATGCCCCTATTAACAGTTCACAGAAACAATCTACATGATGATTTTATTTCACCTCATATTGAAAACCCTCCCCAGCCTGCGAATAGCCAACAACCTTCACTTTTAGAATTACAGCAACGAACTCGCCCGTATAACTTAAGAAGCAGAGAAGCCTGACAACATTTTCTTTACCGGGGGAGAATGTCGTCTATTGTCTATTGCATATCGCTGTATTCATGACATTTCTCTTTTATACGCTTTAGCCTATATGCCAGAGTTGTCAGACGAATAAAGCCTTACATCTCCGGGCTCTCAGTCATCTCTCTCTCTCTCGAGCAACTACCCACTGTTGTCGTCCCGTATTCAGAACATAACACTACCAAAGACCAATGATCATTGTATTCTTAGACATCCGCGCGGCCTTCGACTCTGTCGATAGGATCGCACTATGGAACTGTTTGCTGAGGAATGGAGCACCTGAGAAGTATGTGTCGATCCTCAAAGAGTTGTGCAGTCATAATTTAGATCGGGTCAGGGCCTATGGCCAGCTTTCGCCACCCTTCGCCGTCTCCAGTGGAGTCCAACAAGGGTGCCCTATGTTTCCATTCCTTTTCAACTTTGTCATAGAGGATGTTCTACAGAACGCTTTATCCGGTCTAGCAAACGGTGGAGTCGAACTCCTAACAGGGAACAGAGTCATTGACTTAGCATATGCCGATGATCACGCCTTGTTGGGTGGCAACACACAGGCAGCCCAAGACGCTTTGAACCGCTTGGAGATCGAGGTATCCAGGTATGGCATGTGCTTTGCACCATTAAAGTGCTTGTTCAAGATTGGCAGGAGCGTGTGCCTGCATTCGACCTCTGTGGTGATCAGCTAGAAGTATTTGAGAGCTTCAAGTACCTCAGGAGATTGATTGCAACTGGTGGTGGTGTTGCGGACGAGATCACATCACGAATAGTGAAAGCTAGAGCAGCTTTCACCTACCTGCGACACCTGTGGCGCCGCCATGACACCCGACTGTCCCTTAATGGAAGAGTGTACATCGCCTCGATTCGTAGCGTTCTGCTTTACGATTACGAGACCTGGCCCCTCCGCGTTGAGGATGCTGATCGACTTTCTGTATTCAACCACTGATGTCTCCGCAGCATTGCTCGTGTTCGGTGGAAACATTGGGTGAGAAATGACGAGGTTCGTCGTCGTGTGTTGGGTGTGGATAGTCGTTCCCTAACAGAAGTAGTCGCTGTTCACCGCCTCGGATGGCTTGTTCACGTATTTCGTATACCTGCCCATCGACTACCTTTCCGTGCTCTCTTTGCGCGTGCCGGGCAAGGCTGGAAGAAGCGCGGCGGTGGTCAGACCGTGACATGGCGTAGAGGTATGAAGAAGCTAGCTTCAGCTTTGGCTTCGGTTGGTTCAGTCCGTTTTCCAGGTTGGGGTCCAAGGGATGAGGATTGTCGTTGGTTAGAGACGCTGAGAGATATGACCCAGAATAGAAGTCAGTGGCACGAATGCTTACGGTTTGCCTGTCGAAATCCGGTGCCTCGTAAAAACAACGAACAACAAAACAAGTTTCAAAAGTATACAGTGAAACACAAAAAATTGTTATTACAATTATTCGTAATTTTAAATTCTGACAGTTACGTCTCTTTCCCTATCCTCTGTATCTCAACGTCTCCTCCGGATTGTTTTTTATTGTTGTGGCGTTGGCACCATGCTTGTTCTCTAGACGGCGTTATATATATATATAATGAAAGGGAATTAGCAGTTGAATCAAGGAATAGTCAAGGATTGTTTCAACTAATGAGCAAAACCAGCGGCCGGTGAACCCGTTGGTGAAACAATCTGCCACAGAAGTGGACAAGATATTCACAATAGGAAACAACGGGCCGACCAGTGGGATAAGTGCTTCTTCGAACAATTTATCCAGTCTGGCGCTAAGCAAACTACCTCGTCCGATCTATTTGAGGCCGCGTGGGTAGTGCCATGTGGAGCTCTTACTGCAGCAGAAGTCCGATCTTGCATTCAAGCTCGGAAGAAAGGAAAAACAACAGGACCGGACGAGCTTCTTCGCAATCTTTTCAAGATGGGGTGCGATGATCCCGCAGAGTTTATTTCTGATTTACTGCGTAACACCTGGTCACATGCGCGCATCCCATTATCTTGGAGCTAATCAAGAATCGTTCCGATTTTCAAGAAGGGATCTTGCAACGACTGCGAAATCCACTGAGGAATAAGTTTGATCCAAATCGCCACTACAGTATTAGCCTTCGTCGTACATCGACATCTGACCCCCAGCAGGGAAACAAATATCCGTGAATAACAAGCCGGATTCCAACCATGTCGCGATTGTATTGGCCAGATCTTCACGTTGCGTCAAGTTTTCGTACCATATCATACACACCGTCAATCAACAGTTTTTGTATTCTTTGACTTAAAAGGAGCTTTGGACTCAGTTGACCACGAAACCCTTATGAGTTGAGTACTTCGCAAAAGAATACAGCAGATGTATTTCAACAAACTGAAATCTCTCTACTCGCATACTTCTGGTAACTTGAGTGTCTACGACGAGTTGAGCAGGTCGTTTGAAACTAGCAGCGGTGTTCGTCAAGGGTGCTCTATTTCGTCCTTTCCTGTTCAATTGCATCATAAACGAAATAATGGAGGACACACTAAATGGTCTCCAAAATGTAGGTGTTGAATGAAGCTGTGCGATCTAGAGAAAGCTGACAACATAGTTGGCCTGTTCGAATGTATGGAGGATGCACAAAGAGCACTCGACAAACTAGGAAGTTCTGTCGTTCCGTTCGGCATGCGCTTTGTCCCTTCAAAGTGCAAAGTGATGCTGCAAGACTGGATTCCGCCGAGTTCTGCTCTGAAACTACGCGGTCATGAATTAGCTGATGTTGACTACTTCTCGCACTTGGGTAGCTGCGTGACCAACGAAGGCAGTGCATCAAAGGAAATAACCATTCCCAATGTTTGAGCAGCGTATGCAGGACTTAAACACCTGTGTCGACGACGTGAATTCTCGCTAAAGCTGAAAAGTCGCGTATACTGTGTCACTGTATGATCAGTTCTGCTTTGCGGTTGTGATACCTTGAATTTGCGGGTAGATGACATCTGTAGCCAAGCGGTTTTCGACCACCGACGCTTACGCAGTCTGACCCAGATGGGATGGGGTGAACAGGTTAGTAACCTAGAAGTCGTCGGGTGGTTGGGAATGCATTGAACACGAACTCATTATTGCATCGACTTCAGCTCAATAGCCTCCGTTGTCTAGGACACATATGTCTAACGGTCGCCTACTGCACAGTGCGTTGTCTTCAGTGGCCATGTGGAGGCCAGCAGATGTGGAGACGAGGTATGAAGAAATGCACAGAACGATTAGGTAGAGTAGGTGTCTTCTGTCGTCGGGGTTGGAGTCCAAGAGACTCCGTAACTGGAGACACTGAAGATCATAGCAGCAAACCGACAGCAGTGGCGATCTTGTTGTCACTTGTCATCAGTCCAAAATGCTTGAAATAGAATGCATGCCCAGTTGACCGGTGTACTGTGTGCTGACGATTGAGGTTCGTTTTTTTCCCCATCCACTAAAATAGGCCCAATCCCTATCCTCTTTACACATTCTCACTTATCTTGTATGAATTATGAGTTCGGCAGCTATTCACGAAGTTCGGTCCATTGTATTCCGCAGTGCGATGATGACCATTGTTTAGTTTGTCAGGTATGTTCGCAGGAGGTTAGCTACCTGTTATGATTGCTACGCTCAAGTTGTCTTCTGGTATGTGATAAGTGTGTGGAGTATCCGGTTATTTTTGCACCCGCTGCAGTGACAGTGCTTGGTGGGTAATTTCTTTTCACTGATTCCTGTCAAGCACTCAGCTATCTCCAATGAATGTAGCTGCAGGTCGGAAACCGATGGCTAGATGGACCGACTTTGATACAAACAGTTGGATTCACCACATTCCACCGATTTGATAGTTGGGAAGAGAAGACTAAGTGACGAACAAACGGGTTAACTTTGTTCTTGGTTTTACTGGATGGTGTCCTTGATGAATTAACTCTAACTTGCATCCAAGAAATACACCCTAATTATAAAAATAGTTGTCCTCACACATGTGAATGGTTATATCGCTTTTCACTTCATTGATCTCCGATGAAAACTGGCAGATTTTTTCACAACACAGCTTATTGAATAGGAGAAACCAGATGAACAAATGATCGCGATAGAGGAACACATGAATGATTCATCATTGGAATAAATATAAATAACCGGAAGATTAGTAGAACTAGCACGTTAGCGTGCTTCGAGGAAAGTGTGAGCGACCCCTATTTTTTAGTGGCGATTAGTGCAGTTATTAATGGTTTTTTGTTAAACAGTAAGCTGTGTGAAGACGTTAATTTTCATTATCATACCTGTTCATGGTTCCCTGAGCGCATCGAAGGCGATCGGTTTTAGTAACGAAATTTACTGTCACAAGTACCTTATACCAGGCGATCTTTTTTCTGTAAAATCCCTAACAAGAATTCACCATATCTTGATTTTCTCCATATCAAAGTGCACAAGGTTTTACTTTTGATGATGACCGTTTCTGACAAGGTAACTACAAAATCATCCGACGAAATGGGGCCTTTTCAGTTTCAGTCCAAGCTGAGGGAAGATGACAATTTCATCGACTGAAATCTTTACATGTGAAGATAATACCGGAACGTTATGGAAACTAGCCCATAGTGATGCAGTAGACACAATTGAACAACATCGGGAAGGGGGCAAATATAGTCCGCGTAGAACGAACGGGTGTGAACCCAAAAGTTGCTTACTTTCTTCCTTAGGGTTTCGTCTTCCAGGACAGACCCATTCTAGTTTGATTGGTTCATCCCGTGAAACGGCTTCATAGAATGGTATCATATCATTTAGCGGAATACCAGATGGATAAAGATCCATGAAACGGCGATCGCTATCGAACAAGGGGAACGAAATCCCCGGTGTCCTGTTTGTTGTCTCCTGTAGATGTAGAACATGCTGCAGTTATGCGAAGGTGTATGAAAATGGAGGGAGGGAAGAGCGAACAATAAGCGGTACTTGAATTTATTATTTATTTATTTTAATAAAATGGCATCCACGAGCTTCCATCAGCTGGGAGTAAGTTGCCGCTAATGAGAAGAACAACGTCTACAAGCCACCACACCCCAAGTCCGCCCAACGTGAACAGTTTTCCGACACCAGAGCCAACATGCCCCAAACAGAGTCTGTCAACACCGAGAAAACCCAGAAGTACACTATATACGAAGGTAGTGACAAAAAAATGACCACGATATAAAAGGCAGGGATAACCGGAGAGGATGAATGTCCGATTTCCAAAACATTCAAGATTATCCAGTGCGTGACAAACAATATTGGTCAATTGAACACTTTCATACTCCCGTCCACCCCATTCGGTGCAGCCATCCAAAACGGAAGACTGATTTTGACTGGCGTCCACGGGAGGTTCACACCAAATAGAATGATAAGGCAAAAGTGAACAGAGAACCAGGGGTGAATGTGGTTGATAGGTGAATCCAGTCGATTCGTCAAAAACATCTGTTGTGTTTCCGTAATACTTCGCCGACCGAACGACTGGTATATCGTAAAAATCTGGGAGTCCGGCCGATTCGGCGATGATGAATATATTCAAGAGAAGAAGCAGTTGAAGCATCTCTTTCAAGGCGCCACAACAACACAGCTCCTGGGTGATATCACATAGCACTCGTGAATCGATTTAGAATAGTTGAAAGGTTATCTGCAAGGCAGAAATAAACAATTGTCACACCGGTTTAGAATATTAATGCCTCGTATGAGCCGGAGTTAACAACTCACCTTGAATAAAAACAAACCGGTTAATTTTATTCACACATTCCAATACATTCGCATATGTACGTGCACGAATTAGTCCAAAGAAAATTTGTAGGTTGATGGTGAAAAGTTCCGTAGCCTCGGTGGGATTCGAACCCACGCATGGACGCCGCCTACGCCTTTGTAAAACGCACTCTCTATCAGCCGAGCTACGAGGCCACACCGATAGCACTGATCTTTACACTTTTGAATTACCCATCCAACTTACAGAGGAATATGGCATCCACCAGTTAGCGTGTAAACTGACTGTTCCGACAGGATTTCCTTAGAATTCACCGGAGTCCGCCGAATGAGCTTCTAAGGCAACGTTAATTGTTCAAATTGTTTGGCAAATTTGAAGTTTGTATCGACATACAAACTTTAAATCGGCCAAACAATTTGAAAAATAAAAACTCGCATGGGCAAATCTTTATCCATAAGGCTATTTGGAGGTAGTTACTAACCCCAAGGACTTATCAAAGATCTTGTCTTCTCCTCGCCCGATTCGCAGTCGAATAACCGGCGGACGTTGACTAGTTTATCTTCATTCTCGTGTATAGAGGGGCCGCGTCATACATAAGCTTCTTCACCGCCGGTACCGATAGCAACCCGTTCATCTGTCGGCGAGTTGCCACCGTCTCACCAAATGCTCGTCGAGACGTCCTTTGAATCGCACCCCGTTCTGCCCCTCCACCTCTGACGGAAGTGAATTCCAGAGAGTAGTCACCCTCCGGAAAAGCGATAAACCAAANTAAACCAAAGAAAGTCCCGTAAACTCCAGCTTCCGGAGTCACCTTGTGGTCACGCGTTGCAGTTCCGTAGCGGAAACACGACACAAAGTACCGGTCCCAGATCACCAAGAAGAATTTTTCACAGATATATCAAAGCCCCGCTGTCTCCTGTA